GGTTTCTCACTTTTTCCCTTCCGATTCCCTCCCCCATCCCACCAGGGGGGGAGTAAGTGAGTGGCTGCGTGGGGCTTCGTTGCTGGCTGCGGTTAAATCACAATACAAGGTTAAGGTTGAAACTTGCTAGACAGAATAAACCTCCACAGCTGAATCCTTTTGACTTCAGAGCAGAGTCATCCCCAACTTGAAATAATGAAGCAATAGCAGCAGAAGCCACTATAAACCAACTGCAAGATGGGAATTTTTCCATAGCAAATGTGTTACTTGCAAGGAATAATTAACTTGTAGTTGAAAAGGTACCGCTCCAGTTCCACAGAAATTTTTTTCATTAGACATCTCTGTAAGCTCTCTCCTCCCAGCCTAATCACATCTATTCCTCCCTTCCCCACTGCACGCCCCATTTTGTCCCCTCTCATCACCCCCACTAATCCACTACCTATGTCCAACTTGCTGTTTGAATTACCTGATGGAGACAGCTGAGCCTGCCTTTTTTTTTTTTTTATGGTAAAATTGGCAGCAAAAAGGAACAACTTTCAAGAGGAAGGGAATCAAGCCCTTGCCCCAAAAGACCACTGAGCACATGCGGCTCAGTTGCAAAGAACAGCGCGCTGCTCAGGTGTACGACTAAACACTGCAGAGAAGGAAAGGAGAAGACAGGTGCATGGCAGATGAAGGATTTAGCTCCCAAGCTCTATGAAGGTGAGCGTGTGTGAACCATTTCAGAAGCATTGAACTGGTCAGAATATAGGGAAGATCATAAAGGCAGCAAGAGGTACCACTCAGGTACAAAACAAAGTGTCAAAATGCTGTTAGAGAGAACAGATGTACTGCATATTCTCACAGGCATCCCAAATATTCAGAGGAAAAAAAAAATCCAATCCGATCCTGAGAAAAAAAACAGGACCCACTTTGATGGAGGTTGGTATAATCTAACCTAGCACACTCAATATGGAAACCTCAGCCTACGTGGTTGGTCTGCCAAAGTTACAAGCACCTGCAAGAGTCATATAAATGGTTTAATCCAAATACAGCCAAAAAGGTCAGTCAAGCCCATTTGTTTAAAAAGGGCCATAAAACAGATGCTCAGGGAAGAATGCAAGCAGGAAATACTTTATTATTCCTTAACACTTCCAACCTCCAACTGTTTTCAGCTCAGGAGCTTCCTTAAAAGTACTGGGAAACCACTCTGAATGCCACAACACAGAAATATTATGAAGGAGCAAGGGAAAGCACCTCTTACAAACCCTGGACCACATTTGCAGGATTCGCTGTATGAATTTTTAGGCAAAAAGCACACATGTCAAGTTAAGAGAGCACATGCCAACCTGCTACTGTAGTCAAGAGATGTCCTTTAACACTTTTTGCTATTTTAAGAATCACTGCCTCATTTCAGTAGTTCTGAAACAGATTCTCAGTTCCCCTCTAAGTTACCATGGTACCCTTGCCCTAGAATGCCATTGTCTCTTTTTGGACTCCTGAAAGTTGAGAAATGCAATAGAGCTGTACAACGTGCCATAGCAATGCCACACAGGTAGCATTTAGGAAGGAACGTACTTTTGCCTTCCTGAAAAATATTCTCAGTACAGTGATTGCTTATATTCCTTATTCTTCACTGCGATCATTTTCCAAATGACCTTTTTTTTAACCTGGGGATGTATTGTGCACAGAGTTATTGTAGAGTAGTAAAAAACCTTGGGATCAGACTTGACAGCATTTTAAGAGCTAATTAAAGCCAACCAAGGCTGCAACATCTTTCCTTTCTCCTTTACGCTGGCACAATGAGTGGAGGAAGCTGACCTGGCTGAAAACCAGCTCGTACCATTAAAGCTTGGTTTTCAGCCTGCACATGCTCAAGCCTGATCAGTACAGAGCCATACAAGGGCTAGCACCGCACCAGCGGGGGCAGAAAGGCATGACTGCAGCTACTCAATTTCTAATCAGCCTAAGCCAATTCAAGAGCCCCTAGCAAAGCACTTTACAGACAACAGACTGAAAAGCGGTCCCCAGCTACGACAGAGGTTAAAAAGAAGATTTAGTCTCAATGAACAGGAACTGGCAGAGAAATGGCATAACAACTAGCAGTACATTAATCCTAACGCTCGTTAACTTGAGCACAGCATCTTGAAAGCAGCCCAAAAAAGTGGGTTCTGCCTGTACAATGTATTAAATAAAGTCTGAAATATCCTCCCAACTTTAAGTAGAGATCACTTTTCAAAGCAGCAGCATGATGCTTGGACATCAATCAGTGCAACTTTACCAGCATTCTGAAGAAGAATGATAAAGAAATATACGCATATAAAAACATAACACTTCAAAATCAGATCTGCAAACGATTTTTCCTTTGAGATCTTCTGGTTTTAAGGCTACAGGGCGATAGGGAGGAAAAACATCAGCATTTTTCAAGTTTTGCTTTAACTTGCAACTAAAATCCTATTTTTCAATAAATTTGATTTCACATGAAATTCGCATATTGGCTAACATGTTGTTATAGTGATTCAGAATTTGAGTACCTTTCTCTGGCTATTTAAAGTACTTTGTTTTGTTCTTTGGCTAAAGTGTTCATATGAGGAACAGACAGCACTATACTACTAAGGTACGTCAGTCACAACACATTTCCTCACGTCAACAAGCACTCGAGTCACCTGTAACGTTAGACCTCCCCCTAAGCTTTGGTATGCTTCGAAGAATCAGATGTGACAGGTCTCATGGTGCAGTGAAGGGTGCGGATCTCACACCCAGCCATATAGCAAAAGGGGATTCCTGGCTGTAAAAAACTCTGCAAACAAACAAGAAATCCCCCATGAGCGTCTATAAAAAGTTATACTTCTCACGCTGGGTCAGTTCCCCAATCCACTATACGTTCTTCTTCCTTTATGCTTGCCAATACTGACCAAGGGAGAAAACAGATAAGGAAGTAGGGGAAGCACTAAAACTCATATTGCTGCCCTTTGCTTTGTAAATTGAAACTACGGCCTAATCTCGAGCAGGAGAACTGGGCTTTACCGGTTACTCAGCAACATAATCTGTTTGACTAAGGGATCAGCTTCCAAGCACTGGTCAGAAACAAGAGCTCCAAGTCTTTGAGAACCATTCAGCTGCAGGTAAAAACATGACAAGGTTAATTCTTGACAGGTACCAGTTACCTTTTAGCCTTTTTTGTCTTTGAGATACTTGGAAAACCCCCATATATCTTAGAAGACAAAATTTGTTTTAAAATATTTACTTTTATGGGACTGGTTCCACTGAAGTGCTTAAGCACTGTTAGGCTGTAGTGTTTCATAAAACCAGTGGCTGGCCAAAGCCAAACACCTCTTTCTTCAAGTTGGAATAACTGGAGAAAGCCACCTGATTAAAATAAGCTTTTTAAGTGTTCTACAAACAAGACTGGAAGAAAAATACACATCGGCTTGTGGTCGGTGAGTATCTATGCGATCACACATCTACAAAGGACGTTTAAGAAAACATGGCTACAAATCCTCACTAGAGATATATATGCGTATATGTATGTGTATATATGCGTGCATATATAAGTATATGTATTTATCTCAGGCTAGGATTTGTATGTATTTCTGAAGAAGTCTGCCACTCTGCCATTTCACAGAAACTGGTAACTTGATAGTTTTGAGCACCACTGAGTTAACTGGAGCAATTCAAACAGAAATTTAGCCACCAGTTTAAATCTGCCAAGTGAACTTAGGATGGTGCAAGTAAGTGATAAAGTATGTTTTCTCAAGTGTCTAGACACTTACAAATATTACTAGTTCAAAAAGACAGCATCTTCTAAAAAGGGCAAAACACAAACCCTGTTTTATTGCAGGATACCTTAGCCTGATGTCAGACAGGTACCGCCATGTTTCCTTCTCCCCTCAGCCCCTTTCGAGTGACTATACACCCCATTAAACACAGTTGTATAGCACAGTCAAGTGGTGCCATAGGTACTGGAAAAAAATAATTGTGGTTTTGCAACAAAGGACAGCTCATGACTGCTGATTTCAGTATCTGAAGAGGCATGGGTGAAGACTGAAGCTTCCTGCCATGGTGGACAGCCGAATTCCTACAGCTTTGCCGAACTTGCAGGCTTCCACTGTTGGCAAGCAGTTGCAGTTTGTCAAAGAAGATTCCAACGTGAAGGCAAGGTGCACAGGCAATGCCTGCAGAAAGCTGTTTTTCTGTGGAAATAGGGATAAGAAGGCACTTGTGTTTTGTAAGTTGGTTACCCGATACAAATCCTACCACAGCAACCTAACATTCAATTATTTTTTATTTAATATTAACACAAGCTTAAAACCACCGCAGATCTCCACACAAGCCTGCAGGGATACACCGTAAGCTGACTCTGTGTCTGAAGACACATCATAAAGAGCCATTTTGGAACCCATTTATAGGTCCTGATTTTTTAAGCTATAACTGTTCCTATACCACACAGATGATGTCCAAAGATCAAGAAAATGCTGAGGAAAAGCTAAGGCAGAACAAGGTAGACCAAACAAGGGTTTCTTAAATCTTTACATTCTATAGCCCAAGGAATAAAATTCTTTAAATCAGACCAAAAAGAAGATACAATACTAGGAGCCTATAACTTTTAACTCAAAATTAAGAAGCAATAATTGACATGCAAGTGTATGTCCTGCTATGGCAGGGGGGGGAAAACTACATTTCCCATAACTGTGTGACAGTTATCCTCACTACTGTCTCAATAGTAACAGGAAGCCCTTCCCATCTCACTTCATCTCTTGTACAAGGCTAAACAAAAATGGCAAAATTAAAAATTGAAAAGCTTGAAGACTTTTTTTGCATATTAAACTATTTTTTAGATCTGCCAGTAGCAACTGCTGGCTGAACACTAAAAGTAGGGCTTTCAATACTATATTAAATTACATAAAGCAGTATTACAGATGCCAAAATAATTAGAACGCACTCAAGTTTTAGATTTGAAGTATTTAAAAATAACTGCTCATTTATTTGTATAATATGCAGTTGATGGAAGAAAAATTAAATTAGCTTTTAAAATTTAGTTATCCAAGTGACTAGAAAAAATATGTTTATTCCTATTTGCTCTTGCTGCCCTAAAGGCCTGCCTCGTTCTCTGCTTTGAGAGGTAAGAATTTCCTTGCCTGACCTCCACCCAGACCCTGAGACAGCAGCATTTTATGTAAAACCAGTGTCTGCAGAGTACTGAATGCATAAGCAATTCCAACCCATGGAAGCGGTCGGTTCTCACAGCACAGAGAGATTCTCCTGTGGGCTTACCCTAAAGCTGCCATCCACATCTCCTACTTGCTCAAGAGAGACTTGCATTTCCTCATACACGAATCTGCCAGCCCATCCCAGTCTGCTGAATACCATCAGCTTTTTGCACACACCTAACAGCTTCTTGCTTGTTCAAAGCAAAAAGCCTGCAGCCCCCACGCACTTCATGCCCACATAGCCTTGCTTCATTTTTCATGGGATTCCTCCTGCTTCATTTCCAGCAATTTTTCCGTTCAAAGGGCAGACAGTGCCTGCAATTACGGCTTCATTTCCATTAAGAATGACAGTAGGAGGCAGCACTTAAGCTCACATCCAGCCATCTTGCTCTCTCTTCAGCTCAAATGACAGCACTGAGAGACCACAACAGGCAACAGTTTAATGACAGTAGTCTAAGAGATCTTCTAAAATACTCAGAAAAAATCTGAAGCTACCAGCCACATTACTTGCTTATTTGGGCTTCCTCTAGGATTTTTTTTTTTTTTTTTAAATCATACCATATCACAGCATAAAGGCTACAAAATCTGAATCAAAATGGGCTACACACCAGTGAATCGGCATGTGTGGAGTCACTTGAAGAAACAAACAGGAAAGGAGGGGTTTTGCAGTGGTGCACCTGGACAACCATCAGTCATCTCACAAGCACATGCTTTCAGCTGCAACACTAGCTCTCAAGACAAAGCAGAAGCTTTTGACAGATTGCAAGACTGCAGGCCAGCCCAGCTTCCAGCCCTAACACCCAAGAGAACTGACTCAACAATTCTAAGCCTGGCAGCAAAGATTGTTGCTAAGTCTACTGGACAGGGTGCCGTAGCTGGAGA